AAAGGGTTCGGAAAGCCTTGCTCACTCTAGCTCCTCTTTTAAGCAAAGCACAAGGGGCTATATATAGGCCATATGTAATTATAATTTCTCTAGGAAAGTGATTGATTTTTCTTTCAGTATAAACCAGTCCCTCACTGGCACGGGCCAGCACGAAATAAAGATGTTGGCTTGGCTTCCAACAGCCGGCGAGGAAATTAATTGTAAAACAGCAGGGCCCGTGACACCAGGCCAGCACTCCTCTGGGCCCCAGACCACCAGGAGAAGCCATGGGTGCCGGCCATTTCCCTCACACCTCCAGTGCAGGCCCCCGGTCCCTGCGGGGAAGGTGCCTCCGGGGAGGGGGGGCCACCGCCGGCCCCCACCCCACCATCCCGGGTGCCGGGGGATGGCCCGGGGCGCTTCCACAGCTCCCTCCTCGGGAGACGATCTGTGAGGCGGACGCAAGAAGCCGCCCGAAAGCAGCAGGTTTCCCGCTGGGCCGCTGCAGCCGCCCGGCGCTTCCCGGCAGAGCGGCGGGCCCGAGGACCCTCCTGCTCCTCGGGGAGGAGCCGCTTTCCCCCCAGGAAGCCGCCCGAGGAGAGCCCCGACGCCGGGCGGCCCCCGGCCCGCGGCCCGCGGCTGCCGCCCGCTGGAGGGAGCGGGCAGGGCCCGGGGAGGAGGCGGCGGCCCGGGGTGTCCCGCTTGTCCCCACGGGCCCAGCGTTTCGCCTTTTGCCGGCCGCCGGCTCCGAAGCAAGCCCGGAGCTGAGGGGTCGCACCCCGCTGGGGTGGCACCTGCTCTCGGCGGGGGGCATCGAGGCGAGAAGCGGCCCCAGTTAGGGGTGGCGGTTCTGCTCCCGGCGGGTGACCGGCTGCCCGTGGCCGTTAGGACCGGTAAGTGCCAGGCTCACTCTGCTACAGCACTTCCTCCCCCCCCCGCCATTAAAAAGCCCTTCGACAATCTTTTATTATTATTATTCCTGAAAATTCTTATGCAGTCAGATCATGCCGCTTAAGCGAATTCTTATTTATAATCCCAAAGGCTGCTCTCATTAAGACAGCTGGTGTAAGGAAACCTCTCAGACCTGTCACTCAGAACCCTCACTGGCTCGTATCCACACCTCACCTGCTCGGTTTTAACCTCGTCGGTGCACGGCCTAGGCGTGCAGCCCAACAATACTCAGTTGTTGGACCCCCCGGGGCTACCTAGGGAGGTATCACCTCCACCTCTTACCACTATCCCTCCTTTATATTTCCCTTTAATCCTCTTTGCAGGCGCATGCCCTCAGGAGCCCGGGTCCGGTGCCTGCCCCAGTGATCCAGCAATGCCACTCGCTCACTCGGGGTGTCTTCTTTCTCCTTTCTCCTCCGTAGGCACGGCCTCTGCACATCAGTTCCAAACCCAGGGGTTTGTGGTTTTGTCTGCGCTGAGATGCTCTCGTGAACGCGCCCGTCTCACAGAACAAGCCAGGCCGTATCGTATCTCTGCCTTGCCCTATCACTACTCTTTTGGCAAACTTGGTGCTAACTGCAAACGAGGGTGATGACTTGCACATTTCCTTCAAGATTATTCTTGTTACCAGTGCCAGTGGAATGTCTCTAGAGAAAGCTTTGACCAACAACTGCTTTTCAAGTGGTTTTATGCCTGTCAGTTAAACAGGTTTTAGGCCGTTTAATTTGGATTATTTCTTTTTCGTAAATCGTGTTAGACTGAAGCAAAGAGTTTATCATTGTCCATGTGTTTTTTATCAGTGCTGTTACCTCTATCACAATTCTGACTTTGTCTGAGAACAAAACCAGATTTATTTGATAAGGAGTTGTTTGTGGGTTTTTTTTTTCTATAAAAAGGTTGCTAATTGCATTCAGATTTCCCTACATGACCCTTTCCTCAACTAGTAACCATCAGTACTCCTCCAGGTTTCTGAATTTTCCCAGTCTTCTGAGATGCATATCAGTTGAGTAGTAACGGTCAATCATCATTTCTAGGACTCTTGGTACAAGTTTCCTGCACATTTTAATAAATAAACCCCAACTCCCCAAACATGGTCTTTGCCTCTAGTAGAAATCTAATGTTCTCTTTCTGTAGAATGGACCATGAGGTTCTTTGCCATCCTGATATGAAAAATCAACCATCACCTATAAGCCAATATCTTGCTGCTTTCTAAATACAGAAGAGACTATTGATTTTAACATTTGCCTTTTTTGTATCAATAACAGTTTACCATTGGCATATAGTAACAGGAGTCTATACTTCATATTTTTAATTGTTGTTGATCCCTGTCTTGTAACCTCAAAAACTCTTTCATTGCTTTCAGGTCTGCTGGTCAAGACTTCTTTTCCTACTGTGTTTAGCTTCATTTATCACTGTCAAACTTTGTTAGCTTCTTGTCTATGGAATCATAAAATCATTTAGGTTGGAAAAGACCTTTAAGATCATTGCATCCAACCATAAACCTAACACTCCCAAGTCCACCACTAAACCATGTCCCTAAGCGCCATGTCTGCACGTCTTCTACATTCCTGGAAAATAAATACTTGGCTACTGGAAAAGTATAAAAATTATGTTCTGTCCCTACTTTTATACATGTTTATGCTACCCTTTCTTTTTCTTTCAGATTTCCTAAATGTATTTGCTGTCTTTTGATCAAGTGCACTGGAAGAGATTTGCTGATACTTTTCTATATTAACAAAAACCCCAACCTTGCATTGATGTAAGAGAAACCAACCTAACAAGCTATTCTAACCCTTATCTGATTTGAACCACTCTTAAGACCTATGAGCTTCTAACTCAAGGTTCTACATGGGGTCTATAGGGTAGCAAGCTAAAATAGCAAGAATTGGCTTCAGAGCAAATAAAGGAAGGTACATGAGCCAGCAATGTGTGCTCACAGCCCAAAAGAACAACTGTATACAGCAGGTCAGGGGAGGTGATTCTGTCCCTCTGCTCTGGTGAGACCCCACCTGGAGTACTGTGTCCAGCTCTGGAGCCCTCAGCACAGGAAAGACATGGACCTCTTGGAGCAGATCCAGAGAAAGCCACAAAAATGACTAGAAGGCTGGAGCACCTCTCCTATGAGAACAGGCTGAGAGAGTTGGGGTTGTTCAGCCTGGAGAAGGCTCTGGGGTGACCTTATTGCAGCCTTTCAGTACTTAAAAGGGCCCTACAGGAAAGGTGGGGATAAACTTCGTAGCAGGGCCTGTTGCAATAGGACAAGAGTTAATGGCTTTAAACTACAAGAGGGAAGATTTGGACTAGATAAAAGGAAGACAGGTTGACATGGTCCTCAGGAATTTTTTATTTATTGCTTATTTCTTATTTATTTTTTTTGTCAGAGTTAGGTTGATGGTTGGACTAGATGATCTTTAAGGTCCCTTCCAACCTAGATGATTCTATGATTCTAAGAACTTTTTTACAATGGAACTGGTTGTCCAGAGAGGTAGTAAATGCACCATCAATGGAAACACTCAAGGTCAGGCTGGACGGGGCTCTGAGCAACTTGGTCTAGTTGAGGATGTCTGTGCTTATTGCAGTGGTGTTGCACTAGATGATCTTTAAAGGTCCCTTCCAACCCGAACTATTCTATGATTCTATTTCTTCACTGTACATATATTTCAGCTGTGGAACACATGGTTATTGATAGCATACATAGGTCCAGAAATCATTAAATGCAAAGACACAAGTTCTTGAATTCCATTAAGTATCTGACTCACAGAGAAGTACATACTATAAAAGTATCTTACACTTGCTTTTATTTTTACTTTTTTGCTGGGCATATGCTATTAGCCTCTTTTGTAGGCAGAGTACTGGATTAGGTGGAGCTGCGACCTGATCCAGAACAGCTTTTGCGTGGTCTTATGTACATGAACCCATCCGCCTCTGAGGTCTTGCCCCAGTTCCTCTGGATATGGTACTAGTCACCACAAAGTTCTATATGTGGTGTAGGCAGGCAAGACACTGGTGGGAAATTGCCCCTTAGCAACATGGCTTTTAGTTTGATGGGCCTGCATAGCAAATCCTAGAGAAGCAGGGGGAAGTGCAGGCTGTCCTTATCCACTCCTTGTTCTCCCTCTCCTCCAGTTCCTTCTGAACACTCAACCTGGTGGGTTTTCACACCCCGCTGTTCATCTTGCTGCTTGTGAGCAGGACAGACTTTCACTTTCTTAACTAAGGAAGCATGGCTTAGTTTCCTAGTTTTCTATGTGGGCTCCGAACTGATACCGTTAAGATGCTCTTAATAGGAACTCAGTTATTTTTATTGCCAATCAGTGCCTGACAGAAGCTCCCCAGAAGCAAAGTGCTGATGCTTAACTCAGGTTCGAATCTGATCTGCTCAACAGACCTACAGGATGAACGTTTCAGAGTAATTTATGACTGTATCAGCATTGAATCAAACAAAATGTGAAGTTCAGTGGAGAAAACGATCCTTACAAATAGCACTTTGTCTCACAAAATTTGACAGTGCAAATGAGAAAGGTTCTCTGTTCCATGCGGTTGAGTGGAGTTCAGTTTAAAAGACAGAAATAGCACAGTTGTGTGTAAATTATTATTATTATGTGACATTATTTGAAAACAACTCTGAAAGAATGAAGACTAAAAATCTCATCTAATTAATGCGTAACAATAGTTGATGATTTATTGACTCTTCTGTGAATATACAGATTCTATTAACAATATTTAGATACATTTTCTCAGAAATTCTTAATTATTTATGTTTAGTAATTTATGATTAAACATTTTACAAGAAACAAGGCACTAAAATGTACAGTTAGTCATCCTTATTACATACTGTGTGAGTTTCAGACATACGGTAGATTCCCCTCACTTAGACAATTACAGGCTCTCTTCCTCCAATGGTACTTTTCATTGCATTTCAAACATACCCAACCTTTAGAAAGTACACATTTTAGGGCCCTACTTTTGTCTCCTTTTACTCACTGTTTCTGTAGGAAAAACAAAGAATTTGCTATGAAAATTAGCTACACAATAAAGATAATGAACACTCCATTCCTCACATTTCTAAGGACTTGGACATACTGTGAGGTCTTTAGAGATTCGAACTATGATGTGGGCATTATTTACCAATTAAAAACAACAGTAACAAAAAAAGTTGTTTAAAGGTGTAATTCCAGAAGCTACTTCCATGCAGGACAGAACCAGCTTTGGTGGTGTTTGAGGCACTAAAATACTAAACCAACAATTTACAACGTGTGAGATGTTGGAGGCTGACACCATGCTAGGAAAATCAGATTGGGCTCGTGGCTATCATTTGGCTAAAAATGGGATCTTAAATAATGTATAGTTTTTAGTGCAATTTAAAAAACAAAACCCAGAAACTGTTGCTAATTAAAGGCAAAGACCACAAGAGATACCATCTAATACTCCATTAAAATATTTAGTATCAGAAGGAGTGTATACATTTTCAAGTATCTTATGACAAATAGCCCAATACTCAAGTGCTAGTTCTGTTTTAGATGCTCACTGACTAAAAGCACAAACACGGCACAATGTAATTTTATATACTGTTAAAATACAACAGAATCTAATGCCACATAATAAATACAATATGGTGTAAAGAAAGAGGGGTTTCCTAATTATTTGACCACTTATACAAAAATGACAAAGAGGAGTGCCTAGATTCAAGTTTCTCCTTGAGATTCTCAGGCACTATTTCAGAGTTCTGATTTTCAGTGCCTCTGCATTTAGACTGAAGTGATCCTGAACCCCCTGAGCACACATGGAAAGATTACCACTTTCAGAGATTTTCAGAGGATCCTCGTAGTCTCGTTGACCAAAGGAATTCAAGTGCTATTCCACTGCTGGTGGAATATACATGCAAAATAGGGGAAGCTTGTGTAGGATAAGAAAAAGTGATGGTAGAGAGAGAACCCCTCACAACAACCTCAAGTAATACCCTGGGTCATTGACGAATTAAAGTGAAAGTTACTTTTTCCTCTCAGAAAGAGAAGATTTCTAAAAACCTGGCCAGTAAGTCTTCTCAAAACATGGCCACCATGATGTACCATCACAAGATGGCAGTAGACATTTGGCAGAGATGTCAATAACACATTCGGAAATAAATTATCTCTTAATGAATTTTTGCTTTTTGGGTATTGTAAAAATATTTCTGTTAAATAGCATGAATTTTTGGAAAAGAGAGGTTCTTACTTAACAGTATGAGTCACCCAAAAAGCACAGGAGGAAAAAATGTTAAAGACAACCATTATGTGATTGCTTTTCATAAGCAAAAACTACATTTTTTTTCCTCGTGGTCGCATAGGTTCGAAATTCCAGAAGATGCCCAGGTGAAGTGGGGCTCCAATGCTCCCTGGAAATTGGTAGGATCTGAAAATGTAACCAACAAGCTTTACTGAAAATCTCACACGTGCTTTCTAGAGCCCATTTTGCCCAGAAGTTCTGACTTGCCATGATCCCTGATGAGACAATGGGTCAGCACCTCTGAAAAACAGGCCCTGTAACTACACTAGCGCTGCTGGATGGTAGTTGGTGGCAAAACAGTTTGTACACCTTGTGACTGGAAGTTCAGAAACACAACCACAAAAAGAAAGGTATTCTTAGGACTGAGACTTCTACTTCTCTGGGAAGTAAGACACTGGAATATCTCTATATTTGCATTTATGGACTACCAGAATGTTTTCCTGGTACAGATCTAAAATGTCAGGACATCTGCATCTTGAGAAGCTGAAGATCAGATCTCTCATTATTTAACCTTAGACTCTTCAGAAAGAAAAAAAAAAGTGGAAAGTATAAATTAACACAAAAGCTCACATATAGCTGAAAATACAAAATAATAG